TTGGTCAAGATGCGTTGTCGACCGAAGTCGGTTCCATTACGTCCAACACAACGTGAAGCCATATGCCGCCTCGGTGGCCAGTGGCATTGTCCGCGCACTCCTTGATACCGCGCCTTCAAAAAACGAGAACCTGGGAGGATTGTTACTTGGACTTGTGGCTCAATGACTAACCCCGGGAAGCAAACAGTAACCCCCCCGGCGATATCTTTAGCACAGAAAATAAAATAAATAATTATTTTGGGCGGCGCCCTCCGGCGATATCGTTAGCACATTAAACATAACATACATTAATTAATTAATCTGCCCCCCCGGGCCCGAAGCTGGCGGCAACGTGTGGCGACAGCCTGAAGAACCACTGCGCACGAACGCTTGCCAATGGGTTCCCGCCTTGCTAGAACACTGGGAAACTGACGCACATCGGAAATCAAAGGTAACTCAAAGGAACCCCACAGAAGTCGCAAAGGGATCTCAGCGGCAGCTCAAACGAACCACCAAGGAATCTAAGGAATTTGGAAAACGCGGGCTCGCGTGGACATAAGCAATCCCTATGGCGGCCGCACTAAGGAAATTGATTTTTTCAGGGGATCCTATGGGAGAGTCCACGGAGAGATATCGCAGACGGATTCCGCGACCCCCCCCGCGATATGTTAGCACATTTATTGAAAATGAAATAATCCACCGGCCCCGGATGTCGATGTGATGCTCCCTTCAAGGATTGTCGAAGAAATGTGAGAGGAACTTGAAAGGACCCCCAAAGGAATCCCATAAGAATCTCACAAGGAATCCCACGCATAATATCAAAGGAACCAATGGAAGTTCAAAGCAATCTCAAAGGAGCGCAAAGGCATCCCAGCGGCAGCTCAAACGAACCACGAAGGAATCTAAGGAATTTGGAAAACGCGGGCTCGCGTGGACATAAGCAATCCCTATGGCGGCCGCACTAAGAAAATTGATTCTTTATGGGAGAGTCCACGGAGAGATATCGCAGTCGGATTCCGCGACCCCCCCCGCGATATGTTAGCACATTTATTGAAAATGAAATAATCCACCGGCCCCGGATGTCGATGTGATGCTCCCTTAAGCAATGGGGCATCAAAGGGATATGACCGGAACCTCAAGGGACCCCCAGAATAACATCAAAGGAACACCAGAGGAGTCTCAAAGGAACCCCCAAAAAAAACACAATGGAAACGGCAAGGAATCTCAAAAGAAACCAATCGGAGTATCAAGGGAATCTATGAGGGATCTCACAGAAACGCACAGAATCACAGGAAGCGACTCTGGGCAGGTGTGCCTTGTCGCTGGGCTCTGGACTACAAGGGGACCGGGCATTCAGAGGCTTGTGGAGGCCTTTCTGGATGCCTCCTGGGAACCTCCGGGGACCTCCCCTCCGCGGACCTCTGGTGACCTGCGGGGGATATCGTTTCCGCCCCGGCCCCGGTGCCGGAAGCGTTATAATTTCCTCTGATGAGGGGGGGGAGGGGGAGGGGGGTTTACTGATTGCTTCCCAGGATTAATGGGAGCAAACGATGAAAACAACTTTCTAGTTTCGCGGGCCTTCCCCCCGCCGCAATAGTGGGGGGCCAGGGCAGGCAGACGGAGGGCGGACAATCCCGGGTTGTCTGGAGGCCCGGGGGGGGGGGCGCGGGCTGACAATTCAGGGCGGAGGGGCGGGGGGTCAATTCAGAGCCAGGCAAGCAAAAGCTGGGAAGGATTTCGCGGGCTGACGATTCGCATCCGCAGGGGCGGATACCGCAGGGGTTACTTTGGGCCAGCCCTGAATGGGAAGTAGAAATGTATGATCCGCCTGTACTGCGCGGAAGGCAAACATTCTGCCATTCTGCGCCGCCTTCAGACAGCGACCTCCTTCCCAACCTCCTCGTCCTATACAATTACTCAATATGAATACTACTCTCCCTCTTCCCCTGATGACGGCCTGGGAGTGTCCGACCCCCCCCCCCCCGCGTACTGTTTTTTACACACAGGTTTCCCCGGAGTTGGGTTTTCGCCTGCATTTTTTTCAAAATGCTGCTCTCGCTGAGGCGCCGGCCTCATTTTCGGGCCCCGCTCGTTCCGAATCGTGCTCCCGCTGCAGCGCTGGCCTCATTTCCGTGCTTCCGCTCGTTCCGAATCGTGCTCCCGCTGCAGCGCTGGCCTCATTTCCGCGCTTCCGCTCGTTTCGACTCCTGCTCCCGCTGCAGCGCTGGCGTCATTTCCCGTGCCATGCCACGGCATGCACTGAAATGCTAGGTTGATACTACGCTTTGCGGTGCTCTTCTACGCCATGCCATGCCGTGCTCTACAATGCATAGGGTACCCATCATTGCCCTGCTCGACATCCGACTGAGCGAGTAGAGAGGGGATCTGCGCCATGGTAAGGGATGGGAGGGAGGGGTAGGATGTCAGATATGACGCGAGCGCACCTAGCTTGTCTCCTCCCCTCCTGCTCCTCCTCCTCTTCCTCCTCCTCCTCGTCTTCCTCCTCCTCCTCCTTCCCCTCGCTTTTCTATCCCTTGTCACCTTCCTCCTGCTAATTTTTGTTCCTCTACGGTTGTTCAATATGAATACTATTCCCCGTTCTCCCCTGATGCACTCTGGAAGATTGCCTGCTCCCCTCCGCGCATTGTGTTTTTTATTACACACAGGTTCGGCGCGAATCCGTTTCTCATACTTGTTTCTTCAATCGGAACGTCTGCCCGGCTCTTCCAAATTGTTGTTCCCTCTGTGACGCTGGTCTCAATTTCGAATTTCCGCTCGGTTCGAATCCTCCCGCGTGCTGTTTTTACATAGAAGATTGGGGGAGTGTGTTGTTCATATCTGTTAATCAATCCGAACTTGTTCGTTTCTTCCGACACGCTGGTCCCACGGCAGCGTTGGCCTCATTGTCAAGCTCCAACCGCCGTCCGTGAAGACGACAGCTGGGGCGGCCTCAGGTTGGTTCTTAAGTCGGGGATGAAAGAACTGCATGAACATGAACATTCGGCGGTCCTCCGTGGATTTTCTAGATCTGCGCTAAGACTCCCTAGCGGCGCTTCCGGCGCCCCCTCTCCTCAATCCTCCTCCCGCGGCCGCGGGTGATCAAACGAACGCAGGAGAAAGAATATAGAATCAGTTTCCGCAAGGCGGCAAAATAAAACGCCAGGGGGCAGTCGACTAAAAAAACAATTTCTGGCGGCTGAAACCTAATAGTGTGCCCCACTTATTCATTTTGGGTCCCCCGGGACGGGATGGGGGTGGCATTTTCTTAATCGTTTGCCGTTACACACTGTTTTCACCAGATTCACAAGATTCACATTGCAACCCAAGGTTCTGCACTGCACACTCCGCACCTGTATGGCTCAAGCCAAGCCGTGTTTACCAGAACTCATGAGACCAGCTTGCGCTCGAAATCGCGATTATCGGGTGCTTCTCTCTTGCTGGCCCTATTGAATTGCACTGGTACGCTTACGCAGAAATGACGAAGGCAGGAAGGAGGGAAGCATGAGAGATTAGGAAACATGTGCGGGCGATCCATATATAGAAGAAAACATCCTAGCTCAAAAGAGGCCCTGCAAGGGGGCAGGACACAATATAGCCCAGCTCACGGGCAAGTGAACTGCTCGAAAAAGCCGGCGTGCGAAATCCATTCTGATCGTGAGCCGGCAGCATGCTGCGATCCACGTGTGCCAGCATGTTCGGCGTACCGGCGCAGCGAGCTCTCCCATTTCATCCATGGGCGGCACGACGGTCGAAGAAGAGGCCTGTCGTATACGTTACGCATGGCGGCCGTCCACTCGCCATCTCTCCACCTCGTGACTCTCCAGACCCACGAGTGTCCTGGCAGCCTAGCCACGTGGCCCGCCCACAGCCGCTTCCGTCTGGCGCGGGCCCGCTGCCAATCGCGGGGGGTAAATTTAGCGCTGCTGGGGAGGGAAGACAAGAGAGAGGGGCTCAGGGAGGGGGGAGGAAGATCAGAGATGCGGTAGAAGAGAGGAAACGGACTTAAAAACATACGTCTTAGCTTTCTGGCCACGCCTCGGGCCTCTGGCTGTTCGGGACGACTTCGGGCTCCTAGCCTCTGGGAGTTCCCGAAAGCATCTGAAATCGTTCGCCGTGGTTAGAAATGGCGTCCTGTCCTTCAGCTCAACACATATTTTCTGGATCCTCCAGGGCACCATCCTGGGGAGTTGTTCGAGTCGCGCGCGTCCAGGCAGCTGAGGCCACGAGCCCCCGACCCCCTCGAAACCACAAACTTGCCAAAACCTTACAGTAAAGGAGGTCCGGCGGACAAAATCAGGCCTACACAAATTCAATGATGTCCCATCTTTTCCCACATTTTCTGGGCGCTCCCCTTCCCCTCCAATTTCAATAATTTCCCGGGCTATCTGCGCCCTCCCCACGAAGAGGAGGGGAAGGAGCGGGACAGGAAAGCTGGACCGCCCGAAAGAAGTACGTAGAACAACTGTGTACGATGCCCAAGAGCAAACGTTGTCCAAAACAGACAGCGGCCGCTGTTGAGCTGGCGGCTTCTTGTCCCAAGCGGACAGCGCCAGCGGCGACGCCGACAGCGAATCCTGTTCAAAATGGGTAGCAGCTGCTGCTTGTCTTCGTCCCAATCCTCTGCGCACCCATGTCGATCCTCCCGAGAGGCCGCGGAGCACATCATATTACAAGTCGCGCAAACCTGCGCTGTCGGAGGCCCGCGCGGAATTCTTGGACCTGCGCCGGAGACCCCTGGCGGCGCCTACACCGCCGCGCTTGGCGCGCTCCGCGCACCAAGAACTCCGCGCGGAGCTCCAAACGTGTATGATCGGCGGCGAGCCAAGGGGGGGAGGTGAGGAGGGGCGGGCCTCCTCAGAAGGCCTGGGAGTCCCCCGGCCTTCTGAAACGTGTGTCCAGGCTCCTGCCGAAGGCACAGGAAACTTCCCAGAAGGCGCGAGGGCTTCTGAAAAGCTCCGCCGCCTTCTGAGAAAGCCTTCTCCTTCTCGCTTCCCCTTCGCTCAACGCCGAGAGCAGGCGTCCTTCTCGAGCTCCGCGTGCCTGTTCCGGAGGCCGTCCTCGATCTCCCGGCGTGACTCGCCGAACCGCCCCTCGACCGCGTCCACGCGGCGGAGCTGCGCCTGCGCCCCGGAGAGTGTGTATGTGTATGCGTATATGAGTGTGCGTGTGTGTATGTGTGTATGTGTGTATGTGTGTATGTATGCGTGTATGTATGTATGTATGTATGTATGTATGTATGTATGTATGTATGTATGTATGTATGGTTGTGTGCTGTGCGTGTTGTGTGTGTGTTGTGTTGTGTGTGTTGTGTATGTGTTGTGTGTGTGGGGGGGGGGGGCTGCGCGCGCGCGCGCCGAGGCTCCGCGGCGCAGGGGGGCATCCGGGCTCTACAAGCGAGGCGCTCGTGATGGGCAAATTCTTTCTCCACAACCGCTACCATACCATATAGTCAACCACGCACGATGAGGATGCAAGGGCCTTGGAAGGCCATGCCGACACTTTGCGAGCGGGGCGCGGCCGGCTAAAGTGGCCGAGGATGGGCCGAAGGGGAAGGATGCAAGGGGAAAATTGGAAAGTTGCTCATCCATTGCTCATCCTTCATATGCGGGTTGACTGTAGGCAGGACGGGGAAGAAGGGAGGACGGGGAGGTCCTCCTCATATTTCTCCTCAGTCTCTCCTCCTGATGGATAATTCCTCCTGTTGCACCCCGAGGCCGGTCGAAAGGGGGGGCCGGGCGTTTCGCCCGAGACTTCCTCAACGTGTATGTATGCCTGCAACGAAGAACGTGTTAGGGTTTCACGGATGGAGGGCTGCCCGCTTTCAAACTGTGGCTCTCGCCTTAGCGCCGCGAATATTCCCTACCTAGGCTCTGCCTAGAAGGGTTCTTACTCGGTGTGCTTAAAAGGCCGGGCAGTGGAACGCGACCCGGGCGGTTCCCCCAGTATCCGCCCCGCGGTTCCCCCAGTTACGTCACCCTAGCTTAGCGTTGCTTATCTCATCTTAGCTCAGCTTCATCTTAGCTTGCCAGTTTAGTTTTCTGTTCGGGTAATTAGCATGGGTGCAATTCCCTACCTAGGCTCTGCCTAGAGGGTTAGCTTAGCTTAGCTTAGCTTAGCATAGCGCAGCGCTGCATTAGCATAGCATAGCATAACATAGCCAAGCATAGCATAGCATAGCATAGCATCGCGCAGCATAGCATATCATAGCATAGCGCAGCAGAGCATAGCATAGCATAGCATAGCATAGCATAGCGCAGCTTAGCATAGCATATCATAGCATAGCATGGCTTATAATAGCACAGCGCAGCATGACATAGCACAGTTTAGTTTAGTATAGCATATCATAGCGCAGCATAGCAGAGCATATCATAGCATGTCATATCATAGCATAGCATAGCGCAGCATAGCATGGCATGGCATAACATAGCAACTAATGCTGCTTTCCTAGGGGTTCCAACTTCTAGGTAGGGTCGCACTGGGGTAATTTGTTTAAACAAATGCAGCAGCTTTACTGAGGGAGGGTGGCCCGTTTCAAATGCGGCTCCCGCCTCAGCGCCGCGCACAATCGTCCCGAACACACACACACACATGCAAATGCAACAGCTTCACGGATGGAGGGCGGCCAGTTTGCAAATGTGGCTCCCGCCTTACCGTCGCGCACATTCGTCTAAAAAGTTTGCATGAGTTTTACGGATAGAGGGCGGTTCCTTTTCAAAGTGTGGCTCTCGCCTCAGCGCCGCGCACATTCATGATACGACTTTGCAACAGTTTCAATTATTCTCATCGTTAACCTTCCAGAGATGGTGTTTCGGCACGATGTCCGAAGGTCAGGGCGCAACAGTCACGTTGATTTGCGGTGTCGAAGTCCCAGGAATGATGCTCTGGCACGTTTCAGGCTCGTCACCACGCAACAGTAACGGTGATTCGAGGCGTCCATATCCAGAAATGGCGTTCTGGCGCAACTCCTGACTTTCAAACGTTTGCCTTCCAACGGGATACATCCCTCAGTGAGAATGAAGCCGTGTAGGAGCATATGAGAGAGGGAACTTGGAGGGAAGGTGCAGTGTATTGCAACATCGTTGATGAGTCTTGGGTCTATACTGGTCCTCCTCCTCCTCTTATTCCTCCTCCTCCTCCTCCCTATCCCACATATGGTGGTGCTGGTGGAATCGCCCCATCGGCTTGGGAAGAGGAGCGGAGCGCGCACCTTCGGTCCGAAATACCGGGCTGGGGCCGAGAGGGGAGTCGGAATCGCGGGAGCCGGAATCGGAGAGAGACGAGCTGGAGCCGGATGGGAGCACGAGGAGGGAAAGCGTGTCCGCACCCGAAGGGGACGCGCTCACAAAATTCAGAGGGACACGTGCTCGGCGTGATCGACGCGCCAGGCGCATGGGGCGCTTCTTGGGCGGGTGGCCTCCAGAAACCTCTGGGTGAGGCGTCTGGGGGCCCGGCGGCCGAACCCGGATCTCTGGAGAGGACCGCAGGGGAGGAAGACTGAAGACGACGACGACGACCGAAGACGCCGACGCCGACGCCGACGATCGGAGGAAACAGGATGTACCAACGATGCCGCAAGACACCCTCAGGTCTGGAACCCGCTGCTGACGAGAGAGCATACCCAGCGAACACCGGCTCAACCACCGCGCGGGGGGGGGGCGCCAGGAAGGATCCCCCCTGGACCAAAAGTGACAAATTCCGTCGCCCGAGAAGGTTGGGGGCCGAAAGTACCCCCCCTTCTCGACACTCGAGACTCTCTCCTTCCCGCGCCACCCCTCCCCTTTCGGCTCTCCAGACTCTCTCCTCCCCTCCGGCACTCGAGACTCTTTCCTTACCGCGCGCCGGGAAAGACCCCACCCCCGCGCGCGAGGCCCTTCCCCCCACTCCGGCACCCGAGCTCTCTCCTTCCCGCGCGCCAGGGCGCGCCCGCACCCCCGGCACTCGAGCTCTCCCGCTCCCGCGCCCGGATGGAGGGAGAGCGCCCCCCATCCGGTTCTTTGGAGTCCCGAAACGGTGCGGTGAAAGACCGTGCGGTGACCTCGAAATCCTCCAAGACCTCACCGCACGGTCCGTCACCGCACGGTTTTGGGACCCTGGAGGCCCCAATCGCCCGAGACGTCCTCGGAGAAGGCCTCGAGTCCCAAAACCGTGCGGTGACCCCGAATCCCCACCGACTCACCACACGGTGTGGTCACCACCCCAGTTGGGGGCCCCGCGAATTCTACTACACTCGCCGAAGCAGCCAGCAACGAGGCAACTCTACTCGTCACGCGACAACGCCAAGCGGCGGAACGAATACCATCCCATGTGACTCAGAAGAAACAGAACAAATACAATTCCACTCAACTCGTCACGCGGCAACGCTTCGGGAACGAAACAAGTACTTGTTCATTGTACTCACCGAGTGGCAATGCAGCGTGAAAAAAAAAACCTGTTCGACTTTACTCGTCACGTGGCCCCACCTGGGGAGCGAACAGAAGACCGTGCCACTCTACTCGGCATGTGGCAACGCCCGAGGGGCGTAACAAACAGCTTCTATTCTAGTCGCCACGTGGCATCGCAGCGCGGCGGAAAACATACACTTCTACAAAACTCGCCAACGCAGAGGACAGGACAAGCTGCCAGTCACCTCTACTCGTCACGCCGCCACGCTTCGGGGGGCTCAGAACTATCGTTCCAATCCACTCGCTGAGTTGCCACACAGTGGGCCAGGCAAAACTATATGTCCATTCGAATCGGGCGGGGCGGGGCAAAGATACTATTCCACTCGACTCGTCAAGCGGCAACGCCTGGGGGGGGGCAAAACAAATTCGCTCCACTACATTCGCCACGTGCCACGCAGCAGGCTGGAACACAAAAGTGCTTCACTCGACTGGGGAGTGGCGGGACACAACAATATTCCACTCGACTCGTCACGCAGCAACGCCGCAGTGGGGGCGAAACAAATGTTATTCCAGTGTACTCGCCAAGAGGCAACGCAGCAGGGCGTCAAACACGCCTCTTCTACTTGACTTACTCGTCACGTGGCAGCGCCTGGGAAACGAACAAGACAGACCATGCCACTCCTCTCGGCGTGTTGCAACGCCCGGGGGGGCGAAACAGTGCAGTTCCTCTCAACTCGCCACGTGGCACCGCAGCGAGCGGAAAGCAGACAGCTCTGTTACCCCCGCCAGCGGCAACGCAGCGGGCCAGACAACACACCAGTCCACGCTACTCGTCAAGTGGCAACGCCTTGGGGGCGAAAGAAATGCAAGTCCATTCTACTCGCCACGCGGCAACGTAACGTGGCGGAACAAAAAACGCCTGTTCCACTTTTCTCGTCACGTGTGGCGCAGCGCCTGGAGAGCGAGAGAAGCCAGCAGCGCGCGAGAAGGAGAGAGACTGGAGTGCTCGGGAGAAGGATCGAGGGCTGCTCAAGGTGCCCCTGGCCTGGGGTGCCTGCAGCTCTTCGCCCGATGTTGGATCCTCTGGGCCCCCTGGGCCTCGGGGGGGCTCTGGAGGCCAGGGGGGTCTCCTTGGAAACCCTGGGGGGGCACCTTGGGCCAGGGGCACTTTTAGAAGCATCCGAAGAGAAGGGAGGGGAGGGAACCGCCAGCGCGCGGGAAAAAAATGAGACTCCAGTGCCAGAGTGGGGGGGGGAGGCCCCCCCCCTCCGCGCGCGAGAAGAGCAGTCCCCAGTGCCAGAGGGGGGGGGGGCCCAGCGCGCCGCGAGAAAGAGAGAGAGTCTCGAGTCCTGGAGCACAGGCGTGACACTTCGGAGGAAATCTCGACTGATAACCTGGTTCTGAAACCGAACTGCTCTCCGTGATTGATTTTCGTTCAAGCGATTGTGCTGGGCGCTCAGGCGAGAGACACATGTTTAAACGACTTTCCTCCATCCTTGAGCTATTGGAAACTGGTTAAACCGAGTGCTCGCGGCGCTAAAGCGAGAGCCGCACTCCCAACAGCCCACCAGCCCTCTGGGCTGAGGTGGTTGAGAGCATTATCTTCCATCCGCCCCCTTCTCTCCCTTCGGGGAAGGAAATCTAAATCGTGGTCTGCGGGGTGACGAACAATGAATTCTCGGGCGGCTGGAAATCGCCAGAGGCGAGCGCGTCGACATCATGTAACGACTAGCTAGCAGCCCTAAAGGGGGCTTACGCAACGCCGTGAAGATGACGACGACGAAGAAGGACGACGACGAGAACCCTTGGGGGACAAATACTTAATCATTCGTCGCCAGGAGATCTGTTCCCGCCTCCCCCCCAGGAGCGGACGGGGAGGATCGTGGGGGGGGGGGGGGCTTTCCTGAATTCTGGAGCCTCCACTGCCCCCTCCACGTGGGCCTGAACAGTTCTCTCGAGAGGTGAGCGCGTTCAAGGTGGCCCCAACGAGAAAACACAAAGCAATGGTGTTCCGTACGTTTTGGACCAATTGGCCTTCCGGCCCCCTGGCTCTCCTAAACTTCCATCCTACACCTTCAACGCTCGGGTGCTGCCAGAAGCGGCCGTGGCCCAGGGTGGCCCGGCTTTACCGGGCAGGCGGAGATTGCTTCCAAGCACCCCTCACGAGGCCCAGAGGGCCCCCAGGGCTCTAAACTTGAAAGACAACCTAGGGACACCTTGGCGACGAAACTAAGCTGGTCTTTGGCGAGGAGATACAACGACATTACGCCGCAGCTTACGCGGGGCCGCCAGAGTGGTACACCGCTTGGAGAAGAGGGTGCATACGCACGACAAATGCAGCCATCATGCTACCACAAGGAATGCTGGATAAAGAGCGAAGGGGCTGTTCTGGCCACGTTTGGACGCCCGAAATGGGTACCGAAAGAATGGGTACAATCCCCAACAGCAAATGTTGTCCCAAACCAACAGCGGCCGCTGTTGGGCAGGCGGCCTCCTGTCTCGAATGGACACTGGCCGCGGCGGCGTGGACAGCGAGCCCTGTTCAAAATGAACCAGATCCGCTGTTGGGCATTGTACCCATTCTTTCAGTACCCATTGCGTGCGTGCAGAACGGGAAGCATCGGCCACGATCAGGCTCCCCGACCCGGATCGGAGGAACGGCCCGAAGACCAAAGCCCAGCATTGACCCAAGTGGTGCGTCGAGGCGACCGGGGGGGTCTGACCTGGAAAGCAGCAGAAAATCGGCGGCGGCGGTGTGAGCAGGGACCGACGGTCCCGGCAATCCTGCAAGGCCCACCACGAAGTGATCTCAGAACAGAAGGACACTGACAAAAGCCGTGTTCTCAGAGCACAAGAAACCGATGTACTAAAACACGACTGCCTCGGCGAGGAATGTTCTGATAACAGATCACGCAAACCACAAAATTGGCGGCGCGCACGAGGGTGCAGGGGGAGGGGGGAAGGCTTCTTAGAGGAGGCTGCTTCTGAGAAGGCGCTAGCGCTGCCTCTGCAGACGAGGCCCGCGCCTCCTAAGAAACGGCGCTTCCAAGAAACCCTCCCCCCTCCCCACACCGCCCTGTAGGGAAACCAAAAAGTACCCGTACCGCTAATCCCTGGACCCCTCCCAGGGTGCGTTCTGACCAGAATCTCATGGCAAATCCAGCGGTGGCGACGAGGACCTCCCAGGAAGCCCAAAAAGGCGACGACGCGGGAAGGGTAGCGGTATGGGTACCTTTTCCTCCACCGCCCCCCCCACGCTGCGCGCGGCTGACAAAAGGAGAACCAGGACGCTTCGCCACTGCTCAGGCGGAGGAGGAGGATGCGGAGGAGGAGGGCGAGGAGGAGGACGAGGACGAGTGAGAGCGGGAGGAGGCTGGGGAGGGGGAGGAGGGGGAGGAGGGGTGGGAGGAGGGGTGGGAGGAGGAGGAGGCGGAGGAGGAGGAGGACGAGGGGAGGCGGAGGAGAAGGAGGCGGAGGAGGGGGAGGCGGAGAAGAGGAGGGAGAGGAGGCGAAGGAGAGGAGAGGCGGAGGAGGGGGAAGGTGAGGAGCAGAGCAGAGCAGCACCAATGAACCGATGAAGTGCGACTACCTCGAGAGACTACCGCCCTGCGGGGCACACAAGGTAAAAACAAGCAACGGATCAGGCGTTCGAAAACCACTTAAAGGGGCCCGATAGTCTTCGGGGCCCTGCAGGGGGATACCACAGGCAAAAAAAGGAGGGGGGAGGATGAGGAGGAGGAGGAGGAGGAGGAGGAGGAGGAGGAGGAGGAGGAGAAGGGGAGGAGAAGGAAGAGGAGGAGGGAGAGGAGGAGGGCGAAGGTGATGAGGAGGAGGAGCAGGAGCAGGAGGAGGAGGAGGCGGAGGGGGAGGAGAAGGAAAGAGGGGGAGGAGGAGGGGGAGGAGTAGGAGGAGGCAGACAGCGGAAGGAACGGGAAGAGGAAAACGAGGCGGCGGCGGCGGCCCGCCTGCATCTCGTCGGACACCCCCCGCAGCCTCGGCCGGCCGAGACGCTGCCGCCCCTCGCCGCTCGCCCCCCTCGCCGCCCGCTCGCCCCCGCCCGCACGCCGTTGTCGGTCGGCGGCCGCAGTCGTCGACCGCGGAGACGGTCGCGGTCGCGGTCGCCGTCGCCGTCGTTGTCGTCGTCGTCGTCGTCGCCGTCATCGTCATCACGCCGCCGCCGCCGCAGTCGTCGTTGTGGTCGTCGTCGTCGTCGTCTTCGGTCGTCGTCGCCGTCGCCGTCGCCGTCGTCGTCGTCGTCGTCGTCTTCGGTCGTCGTCGTCGTCGTCGTCGTCTTCGGTCGTGGTCGTCGTCGTCTTCGGTCGTCGTCGTCTTCTGAAGCCTCCGAATACCTCCCAAGACCTTCGAGGGCTTTAGCAGACCTCTGGGGGTCCGCGGAGACCTCCGCGGAGAGCCCGAGAGACCCCAAGAAACGGCGGACGGTGTCGGCCGTCGTGGTCCGCCGTCGGAAGAGAGAACGAGATGGACGCGGAAGGCGAAGACCTGGGGATGAGGCCATCTGTCGCCATCCTGGAGCTGATGGGACGCTGCGAGCTGCGTGGTGAGCAAGCTGCTGAAGGAGGGCGACGTGGAGTTCGACGATGGGGACGGACAGTCTGCCGGAGGAGGCGATACCAGGACGAGGACGACTTGAGGACACGGACGGGCAGACTGCTGGAGGAGGCGTAGGCGCAACGGACTCGGCTCATGTCTGCGCCAGGGACCAAACACGTGACAACGGCGAGGACCGTGACGACGGCGAGGACCAAGGCAATGAGAAAGCAGATGAGAGGAGAGCGAGTACGCAAACGACGACCAAGTCGGTCTTCAGCGTCGAGGTCGTCTTATTATCACTCCCCATCGTCATCATCAGCATCATCGGCACCATCATCATTATCATCATCAACATACTCATCATTACCAGCAGCATCATCATCAACACCATCATCGCCTTCATCACCACTATCGTCGTAATCCTCATCACGGTCATCACGATGCTCATGATCATGATCAAGATCATGATCATCATCATCATCATCATCATCATCATCATCATCATCATCATCATCGTCATCGTCATCATCAGCATCAGCATCAGCATCATCATCACCATAATATGCATCATCATCCTCATCATCGTCATCATCATCCGTATCGTCCTCATCATCATCCTCATCCTCATCCTCTTCGTCATCAGAATCAGCATCATCGTCAGCATCACTCTCGTCCCAATCAGCACCAGCACCATCATAATAACCATCATCAGCATCATCACCATCACAATCAGCAGGAGCATGAGCATGAGCATGGGCATGGGCATCATCATCAGCAGCAGCAGCAGCACCACCATCGTCATCATTATCATCATCAGCATCATTATCATCCTCATCCTCATCATCACCATCATCATCATCATCATCATCATAATGACAATCAGCAGCAGCACCATAATCATAATCATCATCATCACCACAACCAGCATCATCATCACCATAATCGTCATCATCATCGTCGTCGCCATCATCATCATCATCATCATCACCAGCATCATCATCAAGATCATCATCATCATCATCGTCATCATCCTCATCCTCATCCTCATCCTCTTCCTCCTCCTCCTCATCATCATCACCTTCATCATCATCATCATCATCATCATCATCATCGTCATCATCATCATCATCATCATCATCATCATCATCATCATCATCGTCATCGGTCGGACGACGGCATGGTCATCGTCAAAGTCGTCGGCACCCTCGTCGAAGTCGGTCGTCATCTTCGACTTTATCCTCACTGGCGAGTCGGTCGGACGACGGTATCGTCATCGCCATCGCCGTCGGCACCCTCGTAGGCCAGTCCGACAAGAACGGCGACGACGACAACGGCGGCGAAAACGGCAACTGCGACGGCGACGCGGAGGTTGGGCACTGGCGCGACAGTCCGCTGGAGCTGAGCACGACGACGACGATCCACGACGACGACGGCGACGGCGACGGCGGCGACTTCTCGGACGTCGATGGCGGCGACGTTGATGAGGGACAACGATACGGGGGAACCAATTCAGGGGGGAAACATCGAGTACGAATCGGCGGTATATCGCGGATGGATCGATACATCGGCGATATACCCCCAAACGCAACTCCGCACGTTCCTGGGCGCGGCGAATTATCGGGCCCCTATCGGCGATGAATGGGCGATTGGGGGATGATGCGTCCCCACCTGACCCTATCCCCCCTCCTATCCTTGCCCCTGAGGCTCGGGACGCACTCACCTGGATCAATGCAAACCCGGGTCAGTCGGGTTTTGCAGGATCCTGCAACATTCTGCAGGATCCTGCGCGCTACCCCAGGTCAGTGCACCCCTGGCTCTGCTGACCTCCGTTGCAAGATCTGGCCCTCTGGCTGACCTCCACTTGCATTGACCCCCGTCTCAAGGCTCCCGAAGGCGACACGGCGGCTGGGCCCTGGCGCGACAGCCCAGCGCGGCCGACAAGCGACAGACGACCGACGGCGGCAGCGGCGAGGACGACGGCCACAACGCCGCCGCGGCAGGCGGGCTCCCGAGCCGCCGCCCTCGGAGGGGGCGGCGCTGTCGCGAGGCTGGCCGCCGCCGCCGCACGTCATCAATCGTCGTCCACCGCCGCGTCGATTGTCGTCGCCGTCGTCGCCGCCGCCGCCGCCGTCGTCGTGTCGTGGGCCGTGGGTCGTGTGTCTTGGGTCGTGGGTCTTGGGTCGTCGTCGTCCGTTGTGCGGAGATCGGCGGTCGTCCGTCGGTGATAGCCTGTCGTCGATCCGCAGTCCGCCGTCCGCCATTGCGACCGACGCCGCCACGTCCGTCCGACGTGGTCGTCGCAGCCACCGGGCTTCCACGGGCGCCCCCCCGCAACCCGAGAGATCGGCCCGCCTTGTGGGCGAAAACATATTAGCATTCCGCGGCCACTCGGGCCGAGCCCCCGGGTCGCGACCCCGCGGATCCGGGGCGTTTCTGCTCGCGGATGCCCCGCACGGCACGCATCCCGACCGCTTACCCGCTATCCGCAGGATCGCGCCCCAGAGCCAGACCGCGAGGGCGCGGATACGGACATGTTCGCCAACCATCTAGATGCCTATATGGGGTCCGAGTAGATGGGGTCGGAGGATCGCGCCGCATCGCCGATGCATCGGCGACGTCGTCGACGAGGTTCGGCGCCGCCGGCGTGGAGAAATTCGGGCTCCACATCGAGCCGCATCGGCGATACATCGGCGATGCGGCGCGATCCTCAGACCCCATTTGCGCGGACCCCATCTGGGAGTTGGGCGTCGTGTACTGGGGGATGAAAACATGCGGGGGCAGCGAAGGCTGCAGATGAGGAATCCTCTAGGGGTCAAAAAGAGGGCCTTTAAGGCCCGAGAAGTGCATCTCTCTTCCCCCAAATCCGCCGACCCTGTCGGCATGTATGAGGGGCTTTTCCGTTCGAGTCTGGCTTTTCCGTTGGAGTCGTCGTCTCCGTCCTCCTCTGTTCCATTTGCCTGGGCCCTCTTCCTCATACGCGCCGTCCAAAGCAAAATTGAGCAACATCGGAGTGGAATCGAAGGGAAGCCCCTTCCCTTTGATCCCTTCCCCGCGCGGGGGGGGGGGGGTCCCGGGAGGGCGTCGCCACCCAAATACGTTTTCCCTCCGCGCCCCGGCCCCCGCTCTGGCCCCGGCCCCTGCCCCTGCCCCGCCCCTGCCCCGGACCCGGACACGGCCCAGGGGGCCCCAGCCCAAGTCCCGGCCCGGGCGCCCCGGCCCTGGCCCCCGGACCCCGGCCCCAGCCCTGGCCGTGGCCCCGGGCTCGGCCTCGGCCCTGGCCCCAGCCTGGCCCTGGCCCCAGCCGCGGACCCAGCCCAAGCCCCAACAGAGGAGCCCAAGAGGCTCCCAAGAGAGCCCCAAGAAAGGCTCCAGATCGTCAGCGTCGTCGTCGTCGCCGCTGCCGCCGCCGCCGCCGCTATCGTCAGGAACGGCGGCACCAGCCGCTAGGCCTTCCCAATTATTCATCGCCCCCCCCTCATCAAGCGACCCCCAAGGGAGGCCCAGATCATGACCGCCAGCTGCGGCCGCGCTGCGCGGCCGAGCCCGCGGCTTCCCGTTGAGCTCCGCCAGCCCCCGGCTCGCCCGGGCCTGCGCGCCCTCGAGGGAGCAGAGCCTCTCCTCTCTGCGCGGGGGGCGGGGGGCCACGGCCTTGCTCGGAGGGCGGCCAGCTCCTCTGCAGCTTTGGGGACGTACTGACCCAGGTCTGTGCGAACCCGTCGTCGTCGTCGCCGTCGCCGTCGTCGTGTCGTTCGTCGTCGTCGTCGTCGTCGTCGCCGCCGCCGCCGCCGCCGCCGCCGCCTTTGCCTTTGCCGTCGCCGTCGCCGCCGCCGCCGCTGCCGCCCCGTCGGCGCCGTCGTCGTCGTCGTCGTTCTGTCGCCGTCATCGCGATCGGCGTCGTCTCGTCTTCGTGTCGCGCTGGGGATGCACTGACCCGGGTCAATCCAAAACTGGGTCAATCAGGCCTTGCAGGATCCTGCAACATCCCGCAGGATCCTGCGCACTAGCCCAGATCAGTGCACCCCTGGCTCTGCAGGATCATGCAGGATCCAGCGCTCTGGCTGACCCCAGTTTGCGTTGACCCCCCGTCTCAAGGCTCCCGACAGCTCACAGTGCGGCCTCCTCGAGGCTCAACGGGGGCGCCATGGCACGCGCGGTCTTACGCGCCAGGGCTCGAAGAACAACAAAAACAGCATACGGTCGAGTTTGACTGGAGAGGACAAGCAAGCGGACACAAAACCCTTCGGAGGGCCACGTTGTCATACGAATGTAGATGGCACGGGTCGCTAGACACAGGGCACAAGGGTACCCTCGATTTGGCAGGGTCGACCTACCGATCAAACTCGACAGTTGGAGGTGAGGGGGTGAGATCGAAGTGGAACGGAGAGCCCCCCTACCAGGAAATCGATTTCGGTTTCGTGTTCGTGCGTGCCGTGCGTGCGGGCGAGGCGAAGCTGCGTGGGCGGGCGAGAGGAAAGTCTCCTGTGGCTGTGGCGCGGCCGGACCAAATGACTCTCCACTGGGCGGCCGGTGGCGCGCGGTGTCCCGCCGGTGTCCTGGTGGTGTCCTCTGTGGCTGAGGCGCGGCCGGACCAAATGATTCTCCACCGGGCGGCCGGTGGCGCGCGGTGTCCCGCCGGTGTCCCGCCGGTGTCCCGTCGGTGTCCCGTCGGTGTCCCGATCATGATGTTGATGATGATGATGATGATGATGATGATGATGATGATGATGATTATGATAATGATGATGGTGATGATGATGATGATGGTAATGATGATGATGATGTTGATGATGGCGATGATGATGATGTTGATGATGTTGATGATGATGATGATGATGACGTCGATTGCGAGATCGATAGTGAGATCGATAGTGAGATCGATTGTGAGATCGATTGTGAGATCGATAGTGAGATCGATTGTGAGACGGAATGTGAGACCGAATGTGAGATCGAATGCGAGATCGATTGTGATATCGATAGTGAGATCGATTGCGAGATCGATAGTGAGATCGATAGTGAGATCGATAGTGAGATCGATAGTGAGACCGAATGTGAGACCGAATGTGAGACCGAATGTGAGACCGAATTTGAGATCGATAGCGAGATCGATTGAGTGAGACGTTGGTTCCCCCTCCCCCCTCACCCCCTTATCACCCGCAGGGTGGTCGTATAGGTAAATATAATTTCTCCAAGGTCCGCGCAAATTCCTTGGATCTGCGCTGGGAGCCCCCCCTGGCGCGCGAAGCGCGCCAGGAGACCCAGCACAGAGCCGAGGAATCCGCGCGGAGCTCAGAGAAAATGCGCCTTCGAAAGTTAGGCAAGGACGCGCCTCTGGACCAGCTCTGGGAGAGCACGGTTGGGAGAGAGGGCGGGGGGAAAGCCGGGCAAGGACGAAGGGACGGGGGGAGGGGGATGGCCGGAGGGAGCTCTGCAGAGGGGCCGCGGTGTCCAGGCGTGGCAGGATGGAGGAAAAAGAGCGAGGAGAGAGCAGAGGAGGGGGCAGGAGTGAGGAGGCTGGCTGGAAGGAGTGGCAGGAATTGGGGGCAAGAGGCTTCTACTCGCAACAGTGCGGGAGGCGGGAATGAGGGAGAAGAGGAGGAGGACGACAACGACGGGCATGAATGAGGAGAGTCAGGAGGCCAGCCCAACAAGACAATTAAGAACGCTAAAAGCACATCCTCATCACCAATGTCAAATTCACAAAACTATTTTGCGGAGGGGCATCAAACTGCGAATATTCGGCAACTGTGCAACTTCACTTCACCCGCGAAATGGCATAATTGACGACATCACGATACTCTAAGAATGGGTACTAGCTTGACAACCGTAAGTGACATTGACATCAGCCACCAATTCTCAGAGGCTCAGAACTGCTCAACTTCTCAACGGTTTTCTCCGCCACTGGGCCGTAGGCTACGTCCTGAAAGCCAGCAGAGACCAACTGCTTCGTGTTGTCCAATTCTCTTTCTGGGCCCTCTTGGGCGCACTTCCGGGCTTCTCGCGCGACGTTTCCAGAGGACGCATGAGCGCGGTCGGGAGTTCACTTCCCTCGCGTCCTAAGATGGCCCTGTGGAGCCGCCCTGGGGCTCTATCGAGGGCCTCCTGCGCTATCTCAGAGGCCCTTGGTGGCGTCCCCAGAGGCCCAAATCGTTAACGAATGAGCACCAAAAAGACGCCCGCCCAGACCCTACTCTTTCCTCTCCGCCCGACTCCCCTTCCCATCCCTCCCTCCCTGCTCCTCTTCTCCCACCCGAAGACTTCGACGCGGTGCAGGATCCAGGGGGAGGGAGGGGCAGATGTGAGGGGAGGAGAAGGAAGAGGTGGAGGATGGTTGAGGGAGAGAAGGGGAAGAGCAAGAGGAAGAGGAGCAAAAGGAGGAGGATCAAGAGCAAGAGCAAGGAGGAAGACAAGCAAGAGGAGTCAAGAGGAGGAGGATGAGGAGAGAGGACGACGACAACGACGAACGGCCACAAGCAGGATCCTCCATGCGGGCAAGAGCCGCTTCCCGGATCCGGTCGGACTGCATACGCGCCTGCCCCAGCTGGCCGAGCACCTTCTGCTCGAAGGCCTCTTGCTGCCTCCGCAGCATCGCCATCATCGACGCGTCGTACCCCGTCCTGGTTCCAACGGGGCGGAGGGGGGACGCATCCAAGGTCCGCGGGGCACATTGAGAAGGCGAAGGTGCAGGGCTGGGTGGGGGGTGGGCAGAGAAAGAGGGTCGAGAGGGAGGGCAAAGAACGGGAAGGGGAACCGAGGAGGAGGAGGACCACAATAGCCTGTGATGCACCAGCGATGCGGCAATACAAAGTTCTGTGCCAAGCCCACTCCACACAAATCCCTTCAAGCTACGCTCTCCACTGCGTAAAATGCGCCCCTTGAATGACGAGCGCCTGGTGGGCCTGGCACTCACCCCGTCTTGTACGGACCCGCTCGTCCCATGCTTCTCGCATAGAGCAGGGCTGTCAACGTCCAGGACATTGCAAATCATAACTCAATCTGGAAAGAACCCGTCCTACAACAGTGCAGTGGTCGCACACTCAAAATCATGTGTCATAGCGTTCGAAGGAACATCACATGATACTCCCATTTCGAAGAAAGGCCGCGCGTGAATCTGGACAATATGAACTTTGGATCACCGTGTTCGGCCCGGAGGCTCTTTGATGCTGAAAACCTGCGTCACGCTCTTGCCATCTGTTTGGGCGCAAGACTCCTTAAAAAGCTCCTGAATGATTCCTCACAGATATTCAAAACATCCCTCGGGGGTGGTCATTCGGGGAGCCTGGCGGACGCCTGGGGTACCGAAAGAATTTCCCCAAGGAGCCCATCTGGATTCCGTGATGGACCCCGCCGGCCACCTGACGTAGGCACAACGGGTACTAAAAGCACCGACAGGATCCCGTGAAGGAGATTGGACTATTCTCTGGGACACGTGGCGGAGATCATGACGGACTCCCGGTGGTTTCCGAAGGAACTGCGAGGACCTCCTGAAAGAATCGTACAACATTCTCTGAGTAATCCCAAACGATTGATTTCGTGATGGGAGATTCCGACAATATCGCCCGAGGATTCCCAAGGACTCCCTCAGGGAGTCGTGCATGATTCCCTAAGGAGCCATGGAAAAGGACCCCGAAGAAGGTAACCCATCGAATTTCAAATTGGATGCATCCCGTCCCCTTGGGATCGGGCCCCATCGTTGGAGTTTCACGCGTGCACGGCCCGTTGCGCCGCCCTGCCAGTCTGGGCCGATGTTCGGGAGTGCGTCGCCCACGGCGCATGCTATGTGAACCTATGCGAAATATGGCGCCACTCAATCAGGTTGGGCGCGCTCGCGTTTCACGGGTGGGCAACCCATGGGGGAACATATGGCTCCATCGTGTCGCGTTGCTGTCCGAACTGTCGCACTTGGGCGTGTTTCTTATGCTGAATGGGCGGCGCGTGTGTGTGTACATGTGGTCGTGTCCGTGTGTATGTTTGTGACGACGGCAATGTTAACGTCACGCTGGCCATCGTGATCGCAGTGATGCTGCTGTTGGCGGGGTAGCAGGAGATCCTTTAGGTTCCCGCCAGGAATCGCTAAGGAATCGGAAGGGGCCTTTTGAAGAACCCTCTCTTGGGTGACTCCGACGGCACGACCCCGCATTATAATCCCCCCAAATAGTATGGAAGTGAAACTGCTCGTCGTCCTCGTGAGCGCAGAAGCTCTCTGCTTGCCTACTCATCGCCCTTCGATTGTTCGCCATGGTGGAGGACGTCTCCTTGCCCCATTGTTTGCCTCCTCCGCGTCAGCATGCTTTTCTGGCAAAAGCGCGCAAATTGATGTACTTTGGCGCGGTCGCCGCCGCGGCTGGAACGGACGCGCTCTCCGATTGCCAGATCGCGGAGCCGTTCGGGCAACCCCGCGAGCCAGGCCTTTGGGGCAGACTCGCGAACCGCGGGGGCGCGGGCGCAAGCCGTTGGGACAGCCCCGCGAGTCTCGAGCGGGGCGCCGCCGCGCTCAGGCGAGAGGCAGCGCGAAGTCCCGCTCTGCTGCGCACTGCTCGCCCTCAGCCTGAGGTGTCCCGCTCTCTTCCTGGGCGCCTTCCGCAAACGCGCCGCTGGCCTATGACACTCGCGCGAAGGCGGCCGCAGGACCAGCATGGTCTGCGTGCGCGTGGCGCGGGAGAACATGACGTAGAGGTACAGCCACCACTGCTCGTCCGACATTCCTCGGCCCTGGCGCAATCGATGGTGACGCAGTTGCACAGCGTCTGGCCCTGCGACGGCGTGGAAGTGAAGTACGACGCGTGCGCCAGGATGCACCCCGAGCGGCGCACGACGTGCGGCCCCGAGCTCTGCCACGTGAGTTCCTTTTTTTCCGATGGGCCTACAACGTGAGCAAACTCCTCGTCCGCGCCTCGCCCTGAGGAGCCTGTTACAAGCTTTGGATGACCCGGCTCGGATTCCAACATCGGGGCGGGGTCCCCACGGGGAGGGGCTCCCGGTCTAGATTTGCCCAACAGCGACGACAGGTACAAGGTTCGGATGGCCCCACTCGGATTCCAATATGGAGGTGGAGCTGGGGAGGGGGGGGTCTTGCTCGAGACTTTTTCGCGATTTCCTCAGTGATGAAGTTCCCGCCCGAAATCTCCTCACCTTCAGGCTTGCGGTGGACAGGCATGCGATGGAAAGAGATGACGACAGCTACACGGTTCGGAAGCCCCGTCTTGGTTATATCATGGAGGTGGGGACACATAAAAGGATATTCCCCCCGCTCGAGACTCCCTCTCGATCGCTGAGTGCGAAAACGTGGTGTGAACATGTAATGGCCCATGGTCATAGTGGAATGATGGTAGCGGTGATAGGTGATGATTGTATCGTGGTGGTGACGACGATGACGGTGGCGATGAGGGTGATTATGATTAGGATCGTGACGAGGACACGGATGGACATGATGATGTTGGATAGAACGCATTTCGCGGGCGCTTGCCGCTTGCCTTGGGAACATTCGGCGGCGCGTTTCGAACCCGGGGGGTGGGCAACCCCCTAACACTCGGCGCCGTCGATCAAAACCAGGGGGACCCCCCTCTTCCCAAACCCACCCCGTCCCGAACCCCCCCCTTCGGCGCCGGCGCCGGCGGCCGCCAGCAGCGCCGACGGCGGGGACGCAGTGACGATGACCAGAGGCAGCCCAAAGGGAGGGAGGGGGGGTTCAAACCCCCCCCCCTGGCGCCGAAGGGGGGGGTCCAAAATCCCCCCCCCCCCACTGGCGCCAGCGCCAGCGCCGGCGCTGGCGGCGGCCAGCAGCGCCGGCGCTGGCGCCGGCGACGGTGGGGACGCAGCAGCGATAACCACCGCTACCACCACCACCACCACCGCCTCAACCCACCACCACCACCACCAACCCACCACACAACCACCACCACCACCGCCACCACCACAACAACCACCACCACCACCACAACTCACCATCACCACCACACCCAGAAAAACCCACCACCACCACCACAACCACCACCACCACCACAATCTAACACGCCACCACCACCGCCACAACCACCACCACTACCAACAGCACGACCCACCACCACCACCACAAACCACCACACCACCACCACCACCGCCACCACCAACACCACGAGAATCACCTGCACGAGCCACCGCCACCACCACAACCCACCACCGCCACCACCACCACAAACCACAACCACACCACTAATAACCCACCACCACCACCACCGCCACCAAAACCACAAACCACCACCACACCACCACCACCACACCACCACCACCACCACCACCCACCACCACAACCACCACCACCACCAACCACCACACCACCACCACCATTACCACCACAACCCACCACCACCACCACCACCACAGACGTCGTCCTCGTCGACGCTCCCCGCCGCCGCCGCCCGCAGGCGCCGGCGCCGACGCCAGCGCCGGCCCAGAGAAGGAAATCGTCGTCCCCGCCGCCGCCGCCGCCAGCCGCCACCGACGCAGGCACTGGCCCGAGGAGAGGGTGAGAGGAGAAGTAGGGGAGGGAGGGAGGGGTGGGGGTCCGGTTCCCCCCCGCCCCCTCCAAGCGGCCACAGAACGCGGTCTTTCTGATTTTGATAATGATGAAGAGGACGCTGCCGATGACGATGATGATGCTGCTGCTGCTGATGATGATGATGGTGATGATGGTAGTGGTGGTGGTGGTGATGATGGTGGTGCTGATGATGGACATGCTGCTGATGATGATGGTGATGACGATGTCTGGGTGTTCCTGTTCCCGTCTTCTTGTGCGGGATTGTCCAGAGAAAATTAGAAACCCACTCTGAATGCAGGTAAACCCTTTGAATTGTATTGAGACGTGTCTGTTTCCAGACGAATCCTCAAGGTCCCCGCAGGGGGTGTTCCGAATTTTCTTTGAAGAAGGTCTAGTAGACTTCTCAATGGGACCCTCGAGGTTCCTTCAGGAAACCTGGATCGCTCCCAGCTCCCCTACCAACTAGAATTGCGGGGGTTGGAAGCTGCACGAAGAAAAGATGCATGGCGGCAGTGAAATGTTCATTGCAGTTTCTACGTTCCGTGCAATATGCAAGTATGCGCGGGCACTTGGGTCAGACGGCGGCGGGCCCTCCTGTGTGAATGAGGAAAAGGAGGAGGGGGACGAGGAGGAGGAGGAGGAGGAGGCCCCTCCCCCTGCGGCGCGGAGGAGGAGGAGGAGGAGGAGGAGGCGGGGTGGGGGGGAGGGAGGCGACCTTCTGACATGGCAGGGGGGCGTCTCGAGAAGGGCTCCGAGGTCTCGAGGGACGGCCCTAGGGCGGGAGGCCTCCCAAAAAGCCCCCGCCTCCTTAGAGGGCCGCGTCCCTCCTGCGCTCGACCGCCGTGGGCGACGCCAGAGCTATCGTTAAGTCGGGCCTGTCCCCCTACAGGGGGATTTTCGACGAGAAAAAGAAAATACCCCCAAAACTGCCCAACAATAATTCTAAACATAGTCTGGGGACTATGTTTTGAATATTTGCTGGCCTGTTGGGGGTATTTTGGGGGCATTCCTATTTTTCGTAGAAAATGTCCACGAACAAAAACACATCCAGAATCCCAAAATCGCGGATTCGCCGAGGATTCGAAGATCGGCCAAAGATTTCGGGATATGTTTTGCGTTCGTCGCCGTCACCCTGGTAAAACCCTGCCCCAAAATCTCCCTCCCCGAAGTCTCGACGAGGTGTCTGCGTTCTGTCTTGGCCTCCGCGTTTTTGGGATTGGGCGTCTGTTTTGAGTTAGTGAGAAAATCCCCCTGTAGGGGGACACGCCCGACATAACGCTATCGCCATCGCCGTCGAGACCGCGGCGCACGAAAAGCGGGCGGCCCAGCGCACGCGCGGAGCAAACCCCGACACGCCCCTCGCCCTTCGCCCCTCGCTCGCCGCGCCCCTTACGCGATCCGAGGACCCGACGACCCCCCTGGCCGCCTCCAAGCAGCTGCTGCTGTCGTCGCCGCCGCCGGTCGCCGGCCGCCGTCGCCGTCGCCACTCGTCGGCGGCCTCCGCAGCTCTGCGCCCCAGCCCGCGCGCGAGGACGCCGCGCTCGAGGGGCGCGGGTGGTGCGGGGGCGTCTGCGGC